ATGTTTTTCTAAAAATAAAACTCAACATAAATGTTTTAAGATTAGACTTGCGAGGAAACAGTTTAATTTTCACCATATGTTGCCACAGCGGTTTGTAGATTAAAAAAAAAAAAAAAAAAAATCTTTCCACTTAAACTACCAAAAAAAAAAAAAAATCTAATATAAAATTGTATTCTTCCCAAAGCGTCTCCCTCCTGTGGGCCATTTTACGGCTCCCAAATAAATCTTTAAGGTTGCAAGAAAGGGGAAAAAACAAAAGTACACTGATGACGGAAAAGCAAGTCCTGCCATGATAATGTACTTTATTAATATTATAGATGTGTAGTGTGCTGGATGGATCAATCATATCCATTCACAATCAGGATTAAGAGAGCCTATTTTAATGAAAATCTATTAGTCTCTCACTTGAGACATGGATGCTGCTTAAATCAATAAACAGCATAAAAGAATACGACACAGGTTTCTAAATTAAAAAAAAAAATCCCATCTATGAAATGTGTTAAGACGTCTGTAAAATCCTGAAACCCTCGATCGATACTTATAAATATTTAATGTTTTTTTTTAAACACAAATTGAAAACCATTAACACTGCATCCATTCTTATTATTAAAACAAATTGTCCTTGGAATTATGTGCTGTGGAAATGGAGCCAGATTGAAAGGGCATCCTCTGAAATATGTTTACTCGCTTTCATGTAAACCAATAAAAATCTGCAGGAGTCTGTAGCGTGAGCAGAAAGGTTTGATGTACAATGTCCATGATTACAGTCTCTGAATTAATCACGAGAGAGAGAGAGAGAGAGAGAGAGAGGGAGGGAAGGAAGGAGGAAGGGAGATGGAGAGAGAGGACTCAGTTATCTACTCAACAAAATCTTGCTCTTCAGGTCAGCGCTTATTAAAGCGTGGATTAAAACGATGATTTTTCTGTTTCCTTATTTACCCTATTTCGACCAAAATAAGCTAAAGCGGGGGAGGGTGGTAGGAAATCGGTTTCGCCCTACGTCATACCATGAGTCAATGTACAAATGTAGATTCCTCTTATAAATATGAAATCCAATACTTTTCCTTGGAAGTGCTTAAAGCCTAATGCAATATTTAAACTCATTCATAATTATTCCTCTGGTATAATTCGCAGTAAAACCACAATGGTCAAGAGGTTCCTTTGAAAGAGGAATTAAAAAATAACACATGGATGGATACCACGCTAAACAAACCCTCCTCTGCCGTACAAGGTCCAGACTGTCTCCTGCCAGTCTGCCTTGCTCGCAGATGCCCCCTCTCACGGGGGGAAGGACGCAGTCAGGGGGCGGGCTCGGGTCTGCCTAGGGGAATCAGCCCCGTAGGGGCGGCTGTGGGGCAAATGGGGCGAGGGGAAGGAAGTGGGAATGGACTAAACGAGACAACCCTTTTGTCAAGTTAGGAGCCCAAGCAGGGCAGAGGGCTCCTGTCTGGTACGCCGGGGCAGTAGGGAGAGAGCAGGAGGAGGATTTGAGGGCACGGAGCCCTGCAGGTGACCCGGCAGCCCAGGCTGCCGGGGCAACCCTCAACAGGCCACCGATGGCCCATCCTGCAAGGGCGTCCCAGGGAGAACGGAATAGCTTCTGCCACGGCAAAAGGGCACCCAGGGTGCTACGCTGAGCAGAAAGAAACTCCGAGGGGCGCTGGCCACTTTTTAGTTTTGCGACAGGGTCCCATCAGCTCCATGGCTGCAAGGGAATGGGATTTGGATGGCAGTTCCTTCCCTCTCTCTCTCTCTCTCTCGCCTTCCCTTTATCCCTCCCTCCGTCTCTCCTCTGCAGATCATTATCAGGAGCAGCAATAAGCGTAATTCCTTTCTGAACCCACCGTCAAAGTTCGTAGTGAGGTCAAAATTGTTCCCCACTTTTCCCCTCACCGGCATCACCTTGCCCTAGGTCCCCGCAAGGCCGCGGGCCGCACGAAAAGGGGGCGGGGGGGGTACGGGGGCTCTCTCCGCCTCCCGGCGCTCCCTGCCGCCCGCTGGGACGGGCCGGACCCGTCATCCCTATCAGAGATCCTCGGTGCGCGGAGCGCGCAGTGGGGCCGGGCGCGCCCGCGGGGCTACCCACACTACCGCGCCCTCCGCCGCCTGCCCCGCGGCTCTCCGCGGCGTGGGGCGGCGACCGGATGCACCGGAGGGTTCAGATTTGCACCGCTTCTTTTTTTTTTTTTTTTCCCTTTTTTGTTTGTTTTTATTATTTCCCCGTTTCCTCTCCCTTTCCCTTTCCGGTGCTTTGTTTTGCTTCTCACTTTCGGAGCGAGTCTGAGGCAAGCTCCCCACGGCTGCAAGGCTTCCCCCGGGCGGCCTCCCTGCTGCCGTCGAGGGAGGACAGCGGCGGTGGCCCGCGGGCTGCCGCGCAATTTGCGCGCCCGGCGGCTGCCCCGCACCGAGCTGCGCCCCGCGGGCTGCGGAAAGCGGGAGGCAACCAGCCTTCCCACCGGGCGGCCCCGCGCTGCCGGGAAGCAGGAGGGAGGCAGGGAGGGGTGACAGGCAACAGAGCTTTTTCCCCCTCTGTCTAAGGAGGCTTGGATTTGTCTGAGGAGTCTTGGATTTGTCTGAGGAGGCTTGGATTTCTGCCCCTGTCCTCGGGGGCAGGCGGTGGCAGGCGGGGCCCGGGGGTCTCCGGGAGAAGCGCGGCCCCGCGCTCGCGTGGGCTGCAGGCGTGGGGCTGGGCACAGGGGGGAGCTGCGGGGAGGAGAGTGGGACGGGGGCGAGGGGGAGGAAAGGGGAGATCCGGCGGACTTGGTGCAAACTCTGGCAGCTCGTGGAAGCCGAAGCACACCGTGCCACTGCGGGGCTGGGGACGCGGAGTCCGTAAATATTTATCCTTGTTTGCTGCTTGCTGCGAGGGCGGCAGAGGGAGGCTGGGAACGGTGGGGATCGGTGCTGGTCGACCCGAGGGCTGGGTAAAGTTTCCACGGCGGCTGCTCAGCCCCGGTACGGCGCCTCTCCCACATGGGAGCGGGTGCCCGTGTCCCCGCGTGTCCGTGACACCCTAGTACCACGCCACCAGCGTGTGCAACAAACCACCACGAGCCCTTATAACACGCAGACTGCATGACAGAGTCACAAGCAGTGTGTCGTCCCGGGATTTTCCCTCAGCCATACGTTACTTCCCCGTCTATCGTTTGCCTCTATTATTTATGTGGTGCCGTGTGATATACATTAGAGCCTTGGATTTGATTGGCGTTTGCGATGACAAGACCTGTTTGTTAAGTTGTAAGGCTTCCTCGGCTCCCTCACTTGTTAAACGAACTCTGGTGGAAGGATGCCACCGAGACACAACAATATAATAAATGTCAGGGATATCCGCAGTGCCGAGATCAAATGATCAATCCTTGTCCTCTAGATAATCATTTTAAATTCGCACAGGGGGAGATTGATTTTTTTCTTTTAAGCCCTTTATTAATTGCTTCCTCGATTATTATTTTTTCCACTCCTCCTGTGGAGGTGTTAACTCTGGTGCTAGGGGCACCTTTGGATTAATTAAACGTATTTTTAGTGTTTTAATGTTCTGCTAATTTTCAGAGCAGTCCCACATTTCCCCGGAAAAGAAACAATGGCCCCTTGCTCCAACAAGGAGCCTGCTTTGGTTGCGATTCAGAGCAGAGGGTGGCGTGATGATGGGCTCTGAGAATCTTAAACTCGAGGCGAGAGGGAACAAGAAGGACGTAAAAAGCCAAACGACCAGAATACAAAATTCCACCAAATACCGAATAACCCTTCTCGGTAAAGCCCGAGGAGAGGAGATAGAAATAAATAGCTGGAAAGTCGACTCCGCGTGGGGATCAAAAGGTGTGGAGAGGCGCTGGAAATGCCGGCGCTGTTATCTGGAGACGAATTTCAGGCAGCTATTCGAGCACACAGAATAATAATTATTCCAGGAGTATAACAGAAATAACTGCAGCCTACGCCTACCAAGAACAAACTGGGGAAATTATTGCCAGTTCTATGTTAGATCCAGCAGGATATGTCTCGTTCTCGTTGGGGAAAAACAACAACAACAACAACAAAAAGAACGGTATAATGCTCTATTTGTCGTGTAAAACTCCCATGTTAACAAATTACCCTCCTGCTGCATGCAAATGGATAACTCGACATCCAAATAAACATTTTAGATTTTAGTTTTTCCCTACAAAATCTTGAGATAACATAATAACAGTAAACAAGAAAACAGATCCTGCAATGTTTACACGCATCTGGAGAGACCCCCTATCTACGGATACCCCCCACCCCTCTGGCTAAGCAATCCCCTCCAAATCCTCCGAACACACCGACACAGATCTCCGAGGCACCTCGCAACTTGTTTAGCTGCAGCACACGTCCCCCTCCGCACACCCACTCAGCCACCCTCAGCCAGAACAGGCAGCACTTTTAAAACAGCATTTTTGTTTCGCCGGTTTTTTGAGGGTTTTTTTGACCATTTAATTAAGACAAATTAGCTAAATAGCAAATCAGGTAAAATTTCCAATGATTACAACAAATGCACATCTCCGGCGTTTTATTCATTACCTTTTTTATTGAACACTCATTTTCTTTTCCTCTTGACAGCGATACATTTAATTGCAGGAGCACAGTTATTTGATTAGCTGTGGGTCCGTTTTTACTCACAGTGTTGCCACGCACAGGATGTCCTTATAATCAATTAAGTCTTCCTCGACTTTCATTTCTGCAACCCATTTACAGAATGCAGATACCTATTTTCATGTTTTCGTCTTCCCCCCTCCCTCGCTTTTATTCCTCTCTCCCTCTCTCTCTCCCCCTCTTTTTCACTGTTGCCTCTTTGCCTCCCTAAATCAAGGTGCAAAGATGCCAAAGAGTGATGAAATGAAAAGAAAGCCAATTGCTGGACTGAGGTGGGGGAGATAGCTGCTCGGAGTCCGCCTGCGACTATGGAGCAGTCAGTAATTGCTGGAGACAGGGAGAGCTGGGGGTTGGGCTGAGGTAGCCATGTATAAATAGTGTGATCTCAAATTGAAAGGCATAAATAACAGCAGGAGTGATCTAACCCTATACAGCCCATCTTCTACGTGCAAAAACAGCGTGCAGAGGACGGCCACATCTCCGATTGAAAACAAGTGGATCTCTGTGGATAAGATCATCGGGCAGCCATGGAAGAACTTACGGCTTTTGTATCCAAATCTTTTGACCAGAAAAGCAAAGAGAGCAGCAGCGGCAGTGGCAGCAGCAACAAGAAGGAGACGATCACGTACAGGGAAGTTTTGGAGAGTGGGTTGGCTCGCTCTAGGGAGCTTGGAAACTCTGACTCTAACCTACAGGACATGACCGAAAGCACCAACCATTGCCCGGTGCATCTTTTCAAAGACCACGTAGAGAGCGACAAGGACAAACTGAAAGAGTTCAACACGGGCAGGACGGCGGAAGGTAAGAGCGGGGTTGGGAGCCCTTGGCCCCGCGATTCCCGCTGGCAGCCCAGACCCCCTTCCCGGTAGTTCCTGGCTTTCCACAGCGGGGGCGAATCGGTCACCGCGGCCCCGGTCCCGGCCCCGGCGGGGCGAGTGGGATCGCCTCCTGCATCCTGCCTCCCTCCTCCGGCCACCTCCCTCCCGCAGCGGCGGGAACATACGCTTAGAAACACGTACTCCTGCATGCAAAACGTGAGCGTAGCCGTGAAAAATAAGTCACAACTTCGGTCCTGCCCCCCCGCCAGCCCCCGTTCACATCCGAAATCGATCCGGTGCGTTAGGCATTCACTCGCCTCGGGGAAGGGGGCAGCGCAGGACGTCAGACGTTTTTGTCTATCTGTATATTTTTGTACGAGGAAACCTTGTCCGGGGAGTTTTAATGCCTAAGGAGACCTGTTCTTCCTGCTTCCGGGCCATCGGGATGCTGCTGCTGCTTTTAGGAGAAAGAGGGCTGTGGAGAGGCTCTCCCTGAACATTTTGTCTTGTGCCGGTCACCATGTCCTACTCAAAGGCTCCGGCCGGAGAGGCGAAGGAAGAGAAGAGCCTGGCTGTCGGGCAGCGGCACGGGCCCGGTGAGACAGAGCATCCCTGCGGCGAGAGCCACCATCGGGCCCGGCCGCCAGGGCCCTCGGTCCCCTACCTCTCTTCTCACCTGGGCCAAAGCAGCACTGCACCCGAGAGGCAAAACGCCATTCCTTCTCTTAGTGGAAAGAAAATTAAATTAAAACCAAAATATTTTTAAAGGAAGCCAAGCTAAAAAATCCGCACAGGCTCGCAGGGGAAGGAAAGAATAAGAAGGCGGGGGGATTAGAAAGTTGAGAAAGTGTCTCTAGGCAAGTTAGACAGGTGGACCTGCCTGGGGAGCTACTGGCTACTTTAGGGTAATAAAACCCGGTTAATAGGTTGGGGAACAACTAGCAGCCTTTCAGCTGTTTCCTACTGTTTGATCTTGTTTAATATAACATTGGGCGATTTAATTTACAGCCTAAACGTTTATTTAATATCCTACTCTTTTCTATCCCCCTCCCCAAACAGAAGAATGGGGTATAATCACATATCCGAGTATCCGTATTTCTGCAAAAGCCAGTGCCACTCGGTGCTGCTTATTTTTCTTCTCTGATCGAGAGACTGCAAAATGAGAGGGTTCAGTTTAGAGGAATCGTTTCGTCAGGAGATGACTTTAAAAAATGAAAACAGGGCATGCTTCAGGAAGAAAAAATAGAATGGGAACGAACGAAAAAAATAAAAAAAGCCCCCCTGTTACTCTCTCTTTTCCCCCTGAATCGAAATTCTGGCTTGTATGTTTAGCTAATCTGATCTACGGAGAGGGACTGGGGGTGGGGATGGAAGGGAGGAGTTGGAAAGAGCTGAGATGCTTGTGACAGTTTAAATTCATACCAGGTTTCAGTCTAATTTCAACTGATTCCAGCGTGTGATTCCAGTCCCACCGATATGCTAGTTAATATTTTATACCTATCACGGACATGCTGTAGCTTCGGAAAAGAGACAGCTTATGAACGCGCCTGATTTTCCCTAGACATTTCCTGGGTTGGCACCCTCGTCTTTTCATAGGGATTCCCCTTACAGGAGAAATGCGAACAAAACGCCATTAAAACCAACCAGCAAACACACCCCTCACTGGAGGCCAGACCCTACCCAAATTTTTGTGCAGCGGGTATCAGCCCGGAGGACGATCACGGCCAGGGACAGTTTTCGTTTTGGAAGTGAAAACGAGCACTTCCTTTTGGGTCCGGCCTTACTTAAGCCCAGATGCAGTTCAGGATGCTCTATGACGTCTAATTAATTTACGATCTGCAGTTTATCTTTGCATTTTGGGATGCTCCTAAGTATATAGGCTAATATGTGTGCATGCACATGTTTTTGTGTGTATACAAATACATATGCATATAATATATGTGTATTTGGTGAGGGAAAACGGATTTAATTCGAGATCGCAGCTGCGACTCCCCCCCAACTCCACACCACCCAGAAGGTGAAGCAGGACAAAAGAGGTAGTGAGAACAGGCTCGTCCCGGGACCCTGCCGGTGCCCGCGCTGGATGCACACCCGACGGGGCGCCCCAGGCAGGCAGGGGATCCCGGGGAACCGGTTCAGCCTATGGCAGAGTCCGTTGCTCTTCCTCTTTTCGTTAGCCGGATATAAAAGAGGAACAGTGCCCTAGGCCTTTTGGTATGAAGGAAAATGGGGAAATAATAATAATAATACTAAAAAAGTAGGAAATAATTTGCCAAAGCAAAATAAATCCCCTTCCCCAAGACAAAAAACGGAGTACTGTTATACCCACTGCCCCCCTAGCCCTCCCGCCCTCTGCTCCGGACAAGCACGCACAACTCCGGTCGCAAACTCTCCCCAAGCCCCGCTGGACTCCATGAAGGCTGGGAGGGTTCCTGCTCTTTTGGAGAGGCTGGGGGGCATCTATGGCTCTTGATTCTGTTGCCCCGTGCAGGGCCACGCGGGCCCTCCACCACAGAGGTTTCGAGCCGCTGGCAAGTATTTTAGGGGAAGGGGTGATAAGAGGGAGACCCCTTGGTCTCCGGCCCAAGAAAAGTTTATTTAAAGGGGCAAATACTTTCACCGTGGCTTTACCATGAAGGCAGTGGGGAGCTTCTTGCATAACTCTCTTTACCTTGGGAAAAAAACGTCGACGGAGAAGCCCCCTTCCCCCACCTCTTCCCACCGCCCGGAGGTATCAGGACGCCGGCGGTTTTCCTCCCAACCCTTTCCCAGACCTGCCCGTTCCAACCGGCGGCACGGCTTCCTCCTAACCCTGTAAAGAAAATAAAATTATATTTATCTGTATAGTTTTTCTGAAGTGCTTCAGACATGCAAAGCAGCGAGGCTCCCTTCCTCCCTCCGGCCCTCGGGCGAGGTGCCCCCTGCCCAGCGCGGAGCCTGCAGCGGGGCTTAGCCTGGCCTGGGGACCCCCAGCTGTGTCCCCCAGTCCCTCTCGCCCCGCCGGGGCAGGCCCGGGGACACCCCGCCCGCTCGCCGGCTGCCCCCGCAGGTTGTGCTAAGTTTGGGGACGAAGAGAGGGGAAGAGAACTTCGGAGAGGTGTGAGGGGAGCTTCAATGTCGTTTTCCTCTTCTCCCTCCCGACAGGGATCTACGAGTGCAAAGAGAAGAGGGAAGATGTGAAGTCAGAAGATGAAGATGGACAGACCAAGCTTAAACAAAGGAGAAGCAGAACCAATTTCACACTAGAGCAGCTGAATGAGCTGGAAAGACTTTTTGATGAGACTCACTATCCGGATGCCTTCATGAGGGAGGAACTAAGCCAGAGGCTGGGTTTGTCTGAAGCTAGGGTTCAGGTAAGAGAAAGGCTCTGTTCCTGGAAATGTCCTCACCTCACTTACTAATTGCCAGAGGACCCTAGCACAGTGCCCCGTTTCATGCAAAGCGGGGAGGTGAAGGCAGAGGCGACACATGTGATGGGGAATCTGTTTGCAACTCCTCTGTAACTGTTCTGCCCAACAGTAATTCCACTCAGGGTATATCTATCCTTGCCTTGCGTTTCCTAGGAATCTGGTTTAACTTTTTTTTTTTTAATTTTTTTTTGGGGGTGGGAGGAGGGGGAGGTTACCGTTATTGGGTGGTGATAGTGTTGACAAGTCTCTAAGAACTGAACAACTGCATTTTTCTGGATTATTTTTTTCCTTGCAAACGTGCCATTAACTCTCCCTTAATCCTCACTTTCTTCTCTCCTTTTTATTTTATTGGGCCGTTGTGGGGAAAAAAAAAAAAAAAAAAAAAAAGGCCCAGAAAACAATCGCCATGAATAAGGCTAGACGGTTTGGGTGCTGAGGGACGGGATTAGCCAGAGCCGGGGGAAAGGTGCCTGCTCTGATTCGCGCAGCAAGCGTATGAATGCATGGCACCCCATCTGGTGGAGGTTCCCCCCGTCCCTCCCACCCCGCTTCAGAAACAGCTAAATGTCAATTAGACTTCGAAATCTTGAAAATAGATCCGGGTGCTATAGTTCTGGGGCCACCAGAGCTGTCTGTTTGGGTGGCTCCACACTGATTATTTTAAAATCCGATTTTTGGTTTGTTGCAGAGGAAGAATACCTCCTCTTCCCCCAATACAACTAGGGGATGCTTCCACAAAACAGATATACAGATGTCATATTAAAAAAAAAAACAAATCAGCCCTCCTGCTCCCCCCAAAAATTACCCCCCCTCCCCAATTATCTAGAAATAATTAGTAAGATCAACCTGTGGCTCTCCGAGTAGGCAGAGAGCAGGAAAAATGCGAAAGAAATCTCTTCTTGTGTTAAAATTCTTGCTTGGCCTAACAGACACAAACCAAGCTCAAACGCAAGAAGAAAAAGTCACCAAGGCAACCCCACCACTGAACAAAACGCCTTCACACCTTGGAGATAAGATATGCCCATGTATATGTATATCTGCCCATAGGTGTGGGTGGGTGGGTACACATAGGCACGGGGATGGCTCTTTGGGCATAGGTGGAGGCCTCCATGCCCGATCTAACCCCTAGGGCACAGCGGGAAGTTAAGAAATATGGCCCCAAGCCGGGGTGGGGAGCGGGATCTGTTTGGCCCCCTCCTTAACCGTGGAAAGCAAACAGACAGTACACCGCTCAGCCAGCCTTTGCCCAAGCAAGCCACCATCTCGCTTTAAACAATGTCTCCTGGAGGTATATTCTGAATTAAATGGAGTACCTAGGTTGTTTTCGTGGGTGAGTTTTTTTTTCTTTTTCTTTTTTTTTTCCCCCTTTTTTCCCCCGAAGGCTCTATTCTTCCCTGAACTCATGTGTTTCTCAGTACAAACTGAGATGGGCAAGGGATGGTGCCAGGCATATGCCTGAGGAAGGACAGCTTGCAGGGAATATTGCAGGGGTTCAGAGTGCTGCTGGCCGACTTTCTCCTGGAAGATTGATCTAACCACACCATATAAATTAATGAAAAGATTAAACTTTTGCTGAAGGGGACATCAACTCTTATGTCATCTTCCCGGGTCTTCTTACTTGGGCTCTGTAATATCTTTCCAAGGCCTTGATGTACTGTTTCTATAAAAATAAATTACTTGTAATTGAATTCTGCACTCTTTCTTTCAAGTACTTTATTACTGAGGAGCACCTTAACTGGATGTTCATAGTTACAGGAAAATTGGTGCTTCAAGTGCTTACAGATCTTAGCACAACAACAACAACAACAAAAATCAGCATGAGATTATGAGAAATATACCCCCCCCAAATTCAATAATCTTATAAAAAGGGTTTTCATGCTAAAAATAAAACTATAAATAAAATAAAGAGAGAAAGAGGAAAAATGGATAATTAAATAGGAAATAAGCAGAGAGTTGATATCCATCAAAAAATGGAAGTAGAAAAAAAAAGGGGGGGAAATGAAAAGGTGTTTTTTTCCCCAATACTTTCAGAATTGTTCTCTAATTCCTATCTGAACCTCTTGTGCCTTGCTGCTAAAGGATATAGTTTCAATTTAGTGTGGAAATTTGCTGTAAATAAATTGAAGCTCCTATGGTAGCTAGTCCTTATTAACCTTTTATTTTTAGTGTTGTACTGGAAACTCATATCACCCAGCTGTCAGGGTTATAATTGAAAGTTATGAGACCATAGTGAGGAGCAGGCAGTAATTCAATTACAACAAATATCTTTGGGTTTATGGTGCAGGGCTAAATTAAATGTCATTATTCACTGTCTGTAATGGAAATCAAAAGGAAATCAGATTAGAGCATTTGTGAAAGAAATCACTGAGTGATCCTTAATGAAGAAATAACTGTCTAAAACAGTGTACTGTGCTTTACTTAGCATATTCATGACTAATTGGAATTGATCGCGAATCACACCAAGCCTGATTTATTATCGCTTAACGCAGTGGCTAATTCATCACTTTTATTCCTCATAACCTTATTTTTTCGTAGCTGAAGGGAAAGGGCACTTCGTTTTCCAGATTTAAATATAATTTCGGTTTGAAAGATGTTCTGATTTGCAAGAGAAGTTGTTTAAACGCTGCTTAAATTCCTTCTGACAATTTACACTGCTATGGCGAGGCGGGGGGGCGTGGGGAACACACACAAGGAGATTTCCTGCAAGGATTTACAACCGTCAAAAAGTGTATTATTGTCGCTACAGGCTTGATAATATTTTGCATGCTCATATTTAAATATATGTATGTATATAAACCCCTAACGGTCCGGTTAAAAGGAGAATCGATGCATCTTGTTGATATTTGCGTATTGCTGGTAGGGAAAAGTAAGCTTGTGCCGCGCTGTGCTGTACAGGGCAGCGAGGCGGCAGCGATGCCCGATTAGCGCGGGGAGGGCTGCGCTGGCGACAGCCGTCAGGGACCGGGACCCGTGGGTGGGTCGGTCTGTCCGTCCCTTGGTCTGTCCGCAGCCGTGGCGCTCCACAGTCGTCTGCTGCGCGCTCCCCCCACGGACACCCTAGGCAGGAAGAATGGCGCTCTAAATCAGAGAAGGCCAATTCCTACTTAAGAAAATCACTGAGGTACCCGAGGTAATTAATGCCTTCGGAAGCCTTTCTTTGCACTAATTACTCCGTTGTAAATGACCATCATTAAGGCAATTGAAGAAAGCTTGAAGGGAAAATTTGATGTAGGAAGTGCAGTTAGTATTAATTAACCGTATGATCTCTTGGCAAGTGCAAGAACATCAAAGGTTGTAGGTGTTTACTTAGCTACAAGATTTTATCAGCGGTGAAAGTCAATGTTTGTCCATATTCGGTAGATTTTGGTGTAGAGACAGGGGTCCGCAAAACATTTTGGTCCGTGCGCCAGACGATGCTTTGGGGAAAGCTGCTAACCAAGCAGTGCGGAAGGGGAAAAGTAATGAAGGTCTGAAATGCCCCTGGAAAAGAGGAACGGGAGGTGCAGTGGCAACTGCAAGTTCTGCGCTTGTTTGAGTGAGAACGGCTGGAATTGGGGCAGGATTATCGGATTACAGGCGTTTCTCGCTTAGGGACATAAGCACTTCTTTACATCGCAGCCTGCAAAAGATGCTGCTCTTGTCTGTCAAGAAGTCAGTAGTAGCGAATTTTGTTTTCTTTTAACATTTGGGGAATGGGAAATGGTTCGGACCCTTTTGTGCAAACTCCGTGTCTCTCGTCTTGTCGGAGATCATCGATTCCAATTCCAGCTCGGGAGAGTGCAGGAGGTCTGATCTTTTAGGGACCAGACCCTAGAGTCTGACCTGGCTCACGCTGGCAGTTCCCCGGGGTGCTTAAGGTGTGACTAGGAAGGGAGTAAAGGTCCCACTCGTCCTGCGTGTGGTCTCATTTTCAGTGTTTGTGGGAGCAGCCCCTCGCTCCAGACGAGTGGCACAAAACCCGCCCCTGCGTGTCCAGAGGACAGGGGGGCTTCCGAGATTCGATGCGGAGCGGCCGGGTCCAGGTCTCCCCGGCTGCGAGGGCGCTTCCCACCTCCTAGGTTCAGTTGAAAAACCACAAGGAGCAGGGACCGCCCCCCCACCCCCACCCCTCGGTCCCCAAACAGCCCCACTGCAGCACACAGACGGGTTCACTCTACCTGGGGCCGAGCATTCCCCCTCCGCTCCTCCCGAGGAGAGACCTCAGCAAAGTTGTGTAGAGTCACTCGCCTCGCCCCTCCATCCTCAGCCCCTGGGATAATGCTTGCTCCTTAGCAGCTTCCTAGGCCACCTCCATTTTCTGTTGTTGTTTTGGTTTTGTTTGCGTTTTCTTTTTACAGGTATGGTTCCAGAACAGGAGAGCAAAGTGCCGAAAGCAGGAAAACCAGATGCACAAAGGTGGGTTAGGGGCGTGGGCCTGCCGGGACGGGTCGGCCGCGGACCCCGGGGCACCTTCGTCGCTCACCCGGCCCTGTCTCTATCCGCAGGTGTGATCCTGGGAACCGCCAGCCATTTAGACGCCTGCAGAGTAGCCCCTTATGTGAATATGGGAGCCCTGAGGATGCCTTTCCAACAGGTAGTTAGCTTTGGTTTTATTTTACTTTTCCCCAGTAAGCTCCGACCCCCTTTCGTTTGCACGGGAGGAAGCCGGACAAGTTTACAAGTGCCATTTATGTAGAAGTTGGCACGTATTTAAAACAGGCTGTAAAACTTGGTGGAGGAGCCCCCGCCCGGCTTTCCGGAGCTCAGCGCCCCTCGGGACCGAGTAGGGGGCCGAGCGCGGGGGTCCCGCAGCCCCGGGAGGAGCCGCCGGTGCTCAGAGCCCCTCGGCTGGGGTATCATGAGCTGGTACGCGGCCCCAGGGCTGCCCACACACCGAACTGTCCTCCCGGGGGCGCATCTCCTTCCCGGGGCGGGAAGCGCCCGGGCAAGCCCGCCCGCACTCTGCGGGGACGGATCGTCTCGGTCCCGAGTCGCCCGGGGGGCTTTGGTCAGCGCCTGGCGCAGGACAGCGCTGCGGGAGAAGGGTCTTCCACCCGATGCGCGAAACCATCCGGGGAAAACCTGTGTGGACCCTTGCACTGTCGTTCTCCCCTTCAGTCAGTCCCAGGCAGGCTGTTGAGACCTGTCCTTCTTCCGTGGACGAGGCCGTCCCGGAGGTGGGGAGGCTGCTCCCAGATGCTCTGCCACTGAGATGCTCAGCTGGAACAGAAGCAGGGGTGGAGTGCAGGTGCCGAGGCCCCTGGGGGACCTGGGTCCATGCCCCAGTGGGGCGCAGCCCCCCAGGGAAGGCCGATGGGGAAAACCGGGACGAGGGAGATAAAATTCCGTCCCGCCTCTAGCCGCTTGTAACTCTCTCTACCTCTCCCTTTTTTTTTTTTTTTTTTTTTTTTTTTTTGTCAATTAATCGGGGAATTGATTTTTTCCCAGCCCAAAGGGACCCTCCACCACCTTCTCTGTCTCAGAGACACGTGGAGCTGACAGATTAATTGTATTGATTTTTAAAAGACATATTTGGACCAAAATAATTAAATACATAAATAAACTCTCCCTCATTCCTCCCTGAAAACCTACCCGGAGCTGAAATCTCTCAGTCAACCCAATGTGTTTGTGTAGGTCGAGAAAGCTCCAAAGCAAACACCAGTCGGGTATAGAAGGGACCCATGGCCAAAGAGTTTTTAGCAAGGTATAAATAAACATCCGTGGAAAAAAAAAAAAAAAGAAAAACCTGAAAAAAGAATTTTTTAAAAAATTATTTATTTAACACTTGTTGGCGCCCGTGCGTTGGGCCTCATACTATTTATTTATTTATTTATTTATTTATTTATTTATTTATTTATTTATTTATTTATTTATTTTAAGCCACGAGCAGCAGAGCTAAGCGTGTCTCTGGGCCCCTGGTTGAGTGCGGGCTGGAGGTTTACCGCCCTGACTGCGGCGTGGTGGGGAGGGTCGCCGGGCTCCCGGGGAGTGTGGAGGCGGGGTGGGGTGTGGTGGGGGCTGCGTGCCCATCACCGTGCCCCCGGGGCTGACGCCGTGTCTCTGTCGCCGCAGGTCCAGGCGCAGCTGCAGCTGGAGGGCGTGGCCCACGCGCACCCGCACCTGCACCCGCACCTGGCGGCCCACGCGCCCTACCTGATGTTCCCGCCGCCGCCCTTCGGGCTGCCCATCGCCTCCCTGGCCGAGTCCGCCTCCGCCGCCGCCGTGGTGGCCGCTGCCGCCAAGAGCAACAGCAAGAACTCCAGCATCGCCGACCTGAGGCTGAAGGCCCGCAAGCACGCCGAGGCCCTGGGGCTCTGACACGCTTCACCTGAGCGCCTCCCCCCCACCCCAGCACACCGCGCCCCAGGTGCCCGCGGCGGGCGTGTGTGTGTGACCCGCACGGACCGCCGCTCTGCTCCCCCCGCTCCTCCTCATACTCCTCCTCCCCGGCCGCAGGGCCAGCAGCGAGCGCTCCGGCCTCCCTGCCGCCTTCTCTCTCTTTCTTTTCTTTTTCTTTCTTTTTTTTTTCTTTTGTTTGTTTGTTTCTTTCCCCCTTTCCCGAGGTCAGCGAGCGCTCGGCGGCTGCGCCCTCCGGCCGCTCTCCTCGCCCGCTCGCCCCCAGGGACTCGTCGGCCGCGGACGTGGCGCGGTGGGGACGCTCCGCGGACACATCCACACACACGCGCAGCAAACGCGCACTCACGAGTCAGAGACTCCTCGGAGGACAAAGTAGGTGGGAGGAGAGAGGAAAGAGAGTTTAAACAAATTCACAAAAAGAGAAAAAAAAGAAAAAAAAAAAGAAAGGAAACGATCTCTAAATTATGTTAATCTGTGAACATTGGGGACACTTTGGATTTTTGACCCTGGCAAAAGTGATCGCTCCGGCATAACGTCATCTGCTGCTGTCAGTTTTGCTACCTTGTGCATGTGTCAAACTAAACACGTTTTGAAGATCAGAAATATATTAGAACGAAACTAAACAAAACAAATAGTAATAATAATAAATAATAAATCCTTGGGGCTGGTCTCCATTAAAGATGACATTTCTTTGTTGCCAACAACAGTATTATTTCACTGCCATGAATCTCTTCCATCACTGAGGAGCTGCTGCTGCAGAACTGGTTTGAATTTAAATGTGGAATTTCAGATCTGAGGCAAGGCAGGTTTTTTTTTTTTTACTTATTTTCTTTCAAAAAAAAAAGCAGCAATAACAAAAAAAAGTGTGTCTCAAATGGCTATGTCCTTTGAAAGGAGAAAAAGAGGGAGACTAGAACTTGCTAATTGTTAGTGCTAACTTGAAAGGTGGGAAGAATAAGAAATGCACCTGTTTTGCCAGAATCACCTGAACTAAGAGATGCATTGAGCCATAGAAAGAGATCAGATTTTCATTTCTTTTTCCCAAATGCCTGGATCTTTGAATCAAAATCTTGCTGTTTTAGAGGATGTAGAAAGAATGAATTATACAACAAAGATGGACGTATCGTTTTAAGGCATAATACTGATGCAGCATTAATTTTAGTGAAATGCAATTAGGTGCAGTAAAGTGCAATACTGTAAATATTATAGATTAAAAAAAATAGTCGTACTTATTCTGTTAATAACCGATTCTGCAAGAAGCATAACTTAAATCCTTTATGCTCAGGCTGGTGCATTGCAGCTCTTTGCCAAAATGACAGTCTGAGTCTTCTATGAACAGATAAAGCTGTTTGTATCACATATGAGAAAAGGTAGATGCCATGACTTCTAGTCAAGTTAATGTGCCATATTTTTGGGAAACAAGATGAAAAGCCTGTATGACACTTTCACAATCATTTTAATAAAAAAAAAAAAACCAACAACCAACAACAAAACCAAACAAACTAAAGCAACCCATAGAAGTGTTTTGTAGAAGTGGACAAGTTCAATAGTTGGCCATTTTAATTTTTACCTGTGATTTAGACACCAAGTATTAAGCTAATGCTTAAGCAAAGTAACTACGATAAATCCAGCAAGACTGGGGAGCAGGGAAATCCTTTAAATTATATTACCAAAGTGTCTGTCAGAGTGTCTGACCCCTCTTCCCAGTTTTACTTTTTATGTTATTCACTTCTAATTATTTTTTTTTTAAATTTTTGTTTGAGAGGAGAGAAGAAAGTACAAATAATGGTTTTGTCTTCATCTAAAAAGCTACTTGTTGCCCTTGTTACCATAGTCTATATGTTGATGGAAGGTTATCCTCTCAATAGTACCATTATTAGGCCTGCTTTTTATGTATTGTTTAGCAATCCATTGCTAGTTTTGGCTTTTGCTGATATTTATAAAATCCAGATATTATTGTAGGACAAAAATTCATGGTTAGGATAATTTTAGACACTTTTCTTCTTTTTATTTTTATTTTTTGTTTCTCCTTCAAATTCTGATATTTTCTAGCAATCAAAATTTCTGCAATGTCAAAGTTGTGCCATTTCCCTTCTACTTACTACATGATAGGTAGTTATATTTCTGATTTGCTAGGCCTGATAAATGTTGCCTGCCTTTTTTGCCTCTCTGTGAAAGCCTAGCACCTTTTTAAAGCAAGGCTAAAATATTAAGGTAGTGTTACTTCTTGCTGAGAAATACAGACTGAATCTCAGGCAATTAAGAATTTTTTATTGAAACAAAACATTACCTAGAAAATAAAATGTTATTCATGATGACGTATGAATGGCTAAAATGAGAAATATTTGGAGTGGTTCCAGAACTTCTAAAATGCAGATCTGAGAAATAATGAACATAACTACAGAGATGGTTTCAGCTATAGTAAGTAACCTGTTGTACTGGATACCCACAGCCTTCGAAGGAGAATTAGATTCACAGTGTTAAAGATGAAAGGCATAGAGCTTTCGATTGAGTAACGGCTGCTTGTTATCTGTACCTGTGATCTAATCGTTACCATTTCAAATCCTCTTTTCAGACCTTAAAAGAGGCTTACGTGATTTTTTCCAGTCCTGCGCTGGACTTCCAGAAGAGAGTGATTTTCAACCTCGAATAATTCCATAGAATGAAGTTGTTGAAACTGTAGGCTTGGGATCTGAATTTTCTCAGCCATCTAAGTGAGGCTGAGAAGTGTTACCAATCTCACAGTCTTACAGGATGCATCTACCTTGCATGGGAAGGAATAACTTTTCCACCTTTACTGTTTTACTAGGTACAAACACAGCAAAAAATGCTTGTAGATTTGTCTCAGAATTTTTGCTTCTTTCTTGTATTCAAAAAACGGTGGTAACATGAATACAGTTCCCTGCTAAGATGAAACAAGGCTGCTAGTGTAGCATACATCTTTCCAGAATGAAATATTCTTACATTTTTTCTGATTGCTTTCAATGGATATCATAAGGGCATTCTTGCTCTCTACCACAGATGGGAAGAAGGTGGCAAGATTTATCAGCTTAGCCTGTTTTGAAGGAGGTACCACAGACTGGCCTGGGGAGAGGGGCAGGGTGTTGCTGTGAATCTACCGAGGTGTTTCATGCTGCTCTTGCATTTCATTTAACATGAAAGGAAACGAAAAGGTGCACTATGTAAGGGTTGTCACCGGAACCAGTTCTGCTTTGCTTATTTCTTGAATGGGCCGATTTCATCAGTGGTGGTATAAAAGCTTTGTTTTTGATGATGCATGTAGGTGGCCTTCTCTTCTTGTCATCCTCACATCACTGGGAGGAAATGAGGCATCCTGTCTTGGCTACTGTGTACTGGACTGTACTTTTCTCTAAGTGTAAGTCACTGTGGCTCCATTCACCATGTGGAGCTCCAGTGATCATACAAGTTGAGAATCTGGACCAAAGCATCTCCTCCATCTCTGTTAATGTGTGGTCTCTTTTTTGTTTGTTAGTTTATTGTTTAATTATTTTTCTTAAGTAGGTTGGAGGTTGAAGATAACACAGTAATGGTCCTGAGGTGCTTATTAAAGTTTAAAAGTATTGCAATCATTTTAGATTCTCAGGCATGCCAAGCCTCATTTATTGTCTGCCATCATACAGCCTGATCCTTGTGTAATATTTCATTTGAGAAGAGTGAGATTTCCAAGATCATCAGAACAGCAGCCACTGAGCAGAATTTCCATGGAGGAGGCCTTCATTTAGCGTATGTGGATTGCTAAAGAATCTTTCTCAAAAGTTCTGTCTGTTATTTGAAAAATAACTTGAATGAATGCCAAATGAATAATGCTGTTTATAAACAAGACTATAAAAAAGGCTTCAAGCATTACATGGGCCCCTTTATAATAGAAAAAATAGATTTTTTTTTTTAAACTGTCACATAAACTTAAACACTTCACTTATTTGTATCAAAATAGCAAATTGGCTCCATGGCTCATTTTTATTGACTTGGAAATGTGTGAAAAAAATTATACTGAAAGTTTTTTTTGCTTAGTAGGGTCATATAGATGTAGTGACATTTTGGTTAATATCATAATACTTAGCACTTATATAATGTTTATTTGCAAAGCACTGTATAAATGTCTGTTATTTAATCCTCACTCATTAGGAACTAGGTAAGAATTATTATCCCCATTGTTTTAGAAATTCAAGCATATAAATCAAGGGCCAGGTTCCATCACCCGTTGCCAGCACTGAGTATTATTACTTTTGTTTTTGTAATGTAGCAACGTCCCCCAGATCACAATGTGACATGAACTTTGTGGTGGTAGACATCTTTCTACATAGCAGAGGCCCTGCTCCTAGAAATTTAAAGTCTGACTTCAGCACAAGTCTTAAATGGCACACTGATTGTGTTTTGGAGTGGCAGAATTTGCCTGTGAGTTATTTCCACAGAAGATGTAGTTACTGCCCAATTGTCTGACCCCATATGTCAGTGGGAATTTGGTTTATGGCTCAGTGGGGCCAAGTTGTGTCAGTGTTAAGACTGGAACCAAATTTCTGAGTTCCCAACAGCATGCACAAATTGCTAGGAAACCCTGATTTCCAACTTCCCTACTATAAATTTTTCACACAGACCAAGTGTACAGATGTCAATTCTTTGCATGCTTTATCTGCTATGTCTTTTAGTCCTATGTTTGCCTATAAAATAATAATAAGACATGATTTTGAATTGACATAACATTGACACATTGGGACTGTTGAGTCAAATAAAACAGAGATGTAGTCCGACGAAAGTCCAAGTCCTTAAGGTAAAGCCAGATTATGGATTCTTGTTTTTTTAAATTGGTGACAAAAATACGCATGTTTCTGCTCGTTTAAATGTACTAGGCAAAATAATTTTTTTTATTATTAAAAAGATAATTTTAGTTTTTGGAGAAAGTGTTGTTTTGGAGATGGCAGGATTTTTTCCCCTTCAGTTTAAGGAA